GGAGTCCAGCAACCAAGTGAGCCAGGCATGGGCCTCGGACTCTGGCGTCTCCTCTCACCCAGCAGTTCTGCTTTTCCTTCCTCTGAGCTAACTTTACAAGTGCATCCCTCACCCTCTCAGCCACATGGGTCTCCTGGCGGGCATGTCCCTGGTACAGCAGCAAAGAGGCACAGACTTGACTTGCACCACAGGTGAGCCCCAGGTAGACCTCTTCCCAGGACTCACATGGGTGGCTCGGAAACTACCGCCAATCTCAGGGGCACTGGCCACCACCCTCCCTGGCACACGCAAGCTGCAGAAAGCACACGCAGGCTGGTGCCACAGGAACGCACCAGAGTCGCCGACCTTCCGACTCATCACAGCTGCAAGGCGGCCAATCCTGTGGTGATCCAGCAGCCCAGCCCTCTGTGTGCAAAGGCTTGCTTCCGTCAGACGCCAACACAGTGACCCCACCGCCCCCCACCTGAGGATGGCAGGACGGTGAGATAAGCCACACAGAGTCCCAGCGAATCCCAGGACCGGCTGTTCCTGACCTGCAGCCGCTCCCGGGGCACGTTGGACAAAACGTGGCATCTGAACCCACGACCCGATGAAGCAAACAGCAGCGGTTGATGATGTCCAGAGGCCAGGCTGGGCCTGAGGAGCCCCAGCAGGTGGGAGGGACTGGCCGCACCGTCTGCGGGGCAGGTTCAGCACCAAGAGCAGAGCCTTTGTATGACAAAGGACACATGTGGGAGAGTGGAGGCTGCACACTGCCCCGGAGCCCAGACCCTCAGGCGGGGCTGGCCTGGCTGTGGCCCCACAGGAAGGGCCCCTGGGCTCCGAGAGCCCCCTCCTGCCCTGGGGCACTCCACCCACTGGCGCTCATGCTGCTGCTCTCTGCACAGAGGCTGGGATTCCATGCTGGAGACCTAGAGGAACAGAACTCTAGAAATGAGCACTCCCTCTAGAGAGGTGAGCACACAAAGCTCTTATAAAGGAGACGGGCCAGGGTGCGTCCCTCACACGAGAGAATAAGGCCTCCCTGGGAGATAGGAGGCCGCAGGTGCCTGCCCCGATGGTGGGACTCATGGGGCTGTGGAGCCACTGGGTGTCACCAGGAGGAGGCTGGTGTCTCAGGACTGCAGGGAGGGCCTTACTTACCTGGTCAAGGTGTCCCAGCAGGTGGAGCAAGAGGGAGAGCACACGTCTCAGGGACCTCTGGGGAAGGGGCCGCATGAGAGCCTGATGGGAAGGGTCAGGGGTGGGCAGGTCCTCGGGGCAGTCGCTGGGTCCCCCGCTCTGCCGTGACACCAAGTGGTCGGGTCTAGACATGGAGCACAGATTCTAGGCTCCGTCAACCAGGTGTCAGAGCTGAGACGCTTTGCTGTGGCAGGTGCCATGTCCCAGGTGAGACCTCCAACCTCTGTCTTTTCCCCTGTGAGACAGGCTTGATGGCGGTGCCTTTCCCCTGGGGTTCCCGTGAGGATAAAACCGGGTAAGCATCTGAGATGCCGCCCATCCCGAGACCTTGCACGGCCTGTGCCGCAGGTGCCTCGGGCTGCAGAGGAAGGGGTGGTGCTGAGGGAACAGAGCCTGGCAGGGCCTTTGCTTGCTGGGGTTTGGGTCTCTGGGCCTGCGTTCTCTATGCCCTGCCCAATCCCTGTCTCTGGGCTTTGATGCTGGTTTTTGTGTTGCTTTGCCTTCATTTTCTTAGAAAGGTCCTTTAAAAAATTCCAGTTTTCTTCTGATGACTAAGGAGAAAGGGCCTTATCTGCAGGGAAAACCCAGCCCAGAACGGCACCTGTTCCTGGAAAATGGGCCTCCCAGGCACGGGGAAGGTGCAGGCCGAAGGAGGGGGCCGTGCCCCTGCCTTGGACCGTCTGGAAGAAGCTGAGTCGAGGCTCACCTGCAGGTGAACGGAGCGCTCGGAGGAGGGAGAGGCAGGAGGAAAACACTTCCATCAAGAAACCAGTACATTTCTCTGGACACAGCCGAAAGGCGACACGGAGATGCTCACTCAGAGCAAGGCTCGGGACTCTGAAAAGCAAGGATGTGACGAAGAGGACTTCACAGGACGGTTGTCAAGGCGGCTTCATGTTAATCATCTTCAGGGACGTGGCTTCTCAAGAAATCCTGTTGCATCCTTTATAAGGTAAAGAATCATCGAGTGTTTTCAAGATCTGTTTTCCTATCCCTTTGCTTTCAGAAGGGCGACATTTCTGCCTGGCTGGCTCTGAGTGAGGAGGTGGAGAAGAGTGTCACCGTCCCGATGTGACTAATTACGCCTGAGTCCGCTGGGAGCCACCGTGT